TTTATTTAATATCTAGATCTCGATATAGATTTTCTTATTGGATTTAGATCCAAACTATATCTTATGAAAAGATCATTCTAGCAGTAAGGTTTATCAATTCACTAAAACATATTTAGATCTACTATCAAGTTTTATAATTTGCATAAATAAAATAATACAACCGTGAAAACCAAAATTAATACTATAGTTGGAATTCATAAAATTATTAGGCAAAAGACTTACATAAGATGTAATTGGGATCAAACTTGTGACCTTAAATTCATTGAACACAATTTCACTAAGTTCACACCAACCTCCATCGATTTAGACCAAAGATTAGCGAACGAAGAACAATTCACAACACATTTGGGATTTTGACGAAGTAATATACACCCAATACTATGTATATATATATACATAGTCTATCATGTCATTACCTGACAATTTTTCTTTGAATTTATTGTTATCTATACACGTCATACGAATATTCTCGATAATTCTTATAAACCTTACTTAAAAGATTTCTCAACGATTCAGATTTACCAACATCGTTATCCGTACACGTCATACGAATGCTCTTGATAATTCTTACAAATATCACATCTATAGATTAATTGTTTTGGGTTGGACTAAATTATGGCTGTAATTAAATTGTTTTGGGTTGGACTTGATTATTACCGTGGTTAAGTTTAATTATGTCTTGATTAGGTAAATTGTTTTGCCTAATGTAAATATACCCAAATCTAATTAATAATTAGACTATCAATCAATTTTAGCCAATTTATAAAATGAAAATTTTATTAAGAGTATATTGTTTAATAGATAAATAGAAATAAATTTATAGAATGGTCTTCTAGAATTTTTGAATAATCATAAGTGTACCATATTCATTGGGAAAATAATATTTGCAATTCGTGGAAAATATCAATCTAGTATATATAGTTTTGGAGGAACATCTTTGGTAGGCATTCGATAAAATGAAAATAGATTTACAAGAATGTTTGCAACATCTTCTCATTTAGACTAAATGCCAATGCAAATAGTACTAATGGAGTTGGCATGGGGTAAATTGAGGAACTTTAGTCTAGAGTAATATTTTAGGTTATATATGTTTGAATTGAAATTTCCAATATCAAAGCGGTGATTGCTCAGTTGGAAGAGCATTAGACTGAAAATCTGTAGGTCGTGTGTTCGATCATTACTCACCGTATAATATATATTTTTTTTTATTTGTTTTCAGATGCATGGTTGCATCTAAAAAAGTTTTCTCAATGCAGGCCGGTTTAGATCATATTTACATGCATGAGTGCCACTCATATGAATCCATCATAGCACTGTCATGAGTGCACAAAACATTGATCTATTAGGGATTTGAATATGACTTTTATTGAAGGTGGGAGACTGAGTTGGGGCGGTGTGCATTAATAGAAAATTATGGGTATTTTAGTAATTAGATTAGGCTTTGGTTTAAGGTTAGGGTTTTTAATCGAATCGGTTCAAGTAAACCTCTTTACAATGTAATTAGAGTTTATTGGAATACAACTACATATTATTATACAATGTAATCTCTTATGTTAATCTGTCTCCATATTTCCCTTGTTTATATTATCATGTGTCAGGCCAGGAGAAGATCTTAGAGAAGACTTTATCAAATCGAAGATATATAGTTTTGTTTCTTTTAAATTG